AGATAACACCAGTAACAACCCAGTGGACTTTTGAAGTGTAAACATAAAAGTCTATTAAGAATACAATGTTGGTTTAATCCCAAGACAAAAAATTTACTTAATGAAAAGCACAACTCATCTCAAGAAGGAAATATCGATACCAGCTGTGAGCAGAAAATGAGGGGATTCCTTCCAGGGAACATCTGAATTGCAACCCACTGCCTTTCCAATATTTACTCTGGACATAAAGTCTCAAATACTTTTCCGAGGATCTCATTTTTCTCCAGGAAAGGAGGAGGTCAGAGGAGCGTGGGCAGAGCGAAAGGAGAGCCTGGCAGAGCCTAGAAATGCACACACCCAACAGACCCAGAAGATAGCCCTCGACAAACTTACCTCCTTTCTTGGTGTGGCTGTGAGTGGCCTCCTTTCCTCAAGGGTCCCAGCTACCAAGTGCTAATAAGAACCTGACTCCAGGTGCCACTGGTCAACAGATAAATGGCAGCCCTGTGTTGCCAACTCATGCTATCTGCAGTGACGCTTTTAGCTGCTTTCTGCATTCTTTCAGTATATTCTGGTGAAGCAGTGGGATGGTACAGTGAGAAGACATGGCCTTCTTAAAGAGGATTTTTAGATTGCCAGCTCTGCTTTACTACCTTTGAGAACAATCACATACTCTGAAAGGAAGGCATGACCTTAAGCTACACTTGTGCATGCTGAGAACCTGGAACAAAGTATACTCTCTTCTCTCACAATCTTACCCCCCAGCTCCCCTTAGGCCCACTGGCTAAGTTAAAATAGACAGGGTAAAACTTGCCATATACAACTTTATACTTAGTTATCTCTAAGTGTAATGTAATACTAATGTGGAAGAACATAACGCAACACAACGAGGGAACCATCTCCAGTGCTGGCAAGAAGTAACAGGTTGTTCCAGCTTTTCTCCTATAAACAGATGAGTAATTCATTCATTTAATCATTCATTTACTCAGTCTTCCATCCACCCATGCATCCATGCATCCATGCATCCATGCATCCATCCATCCATCCATCCATCCATCCATCCATCCATCCTACTGAGAGGCAGCAGAGCAAATGCAATAAGCCAAAGCACAAATATCAGGCCAGAGTCCCAGCCTCACCACCTACTATGAGGCTTGAGGTAAACCACCTAATCTTGCTGGGCCATAGTTTCCTCATCTCTAAAATAAAGATAATAATAATGCCTATTATTAACATAGTCACAATTATTAAATAACTAAATTAATGTGAGCACTTGGCAAAGAATAAGCCCTCCAGGGTTAATCACCTTAATGGTAGTAATTATAATAATTATCCTATTAAAAAATACACTCATCCGCAGCTATGCACCAGACTCTGGACAAGGCATCAAATGATTTTAGCCTTCTGATTTTGCAAGGATCTTCTGCAGGCCATTGGATTTCACATGGCAACAACTTCCACGTAAACTCCCTCATTTTCCAGGGATGGGAGTGGGCCCAAACACCAGAGCCACTTACAGCATGAGACTACCCTTCCTCCCCAAAGCCATGCTTAAACAATTATGAGCATTATGTTGCAGGTACCCATGGCCATAGGAGGCCAGCCCAGCACAGTGTTCATCTTGCAAAGGTGTCTTTTGTGTGGGTTTTGGATTACAGCTGGGCAATGCAAAGCCATAGAGCGAGTGGCAAAACGAGTTTTCATAAGCTCAACCTGTCACAAACTAGGAATGGGCTCATGCTGACATCCCCACAGTAAGATTAAACAACATGCTTCATCAGGCACTAAATACTAACACAGCTCCAACGTCAGGGGGACACTGATTAAAACTGATGTCAATAATTTATGAAACACAATATGGTCTTCAGATGCTCTTTTGAGGAGAGAGAGAGAGAGAGAGAGAGAGAGAGAGAGAGAGAGAGAGAGAGAACCTAGAAACCCAGGTGGTTAAAAATTGTTCATGCATTTTCCCTTGAATGTGGACACCCCCACCATGCACGGGTGCTTCTTTACGTAGGAAATGTAAATGCACATGTGTATACAAGCATGTGAGTGTAGTTTTATTTTTTTAATACATATGGACGGAAGAAAGTATTTAGTTATTCTTCTGAGAACTGTTGAGGCTGTAACATTATACATAGTCTTGTCTTTCATATTGTTTCTGAAGTTTTTTTTCAAGAAGAAATCCAAAATTCCATTTAAAATAAAATTAGGCTTTGCAAGAGTTCACATTTATTCTGTAGAAAAATTGACCTTAAAATAAAAGCAGAAATAAAATCTGCAGCAAAGAAATCATATAGGTTTATGTGTATATCTTAGTAATCTGTAAATATACCAGCCCTATGCAGAAAGACTACTCAGTCAAGTAACACCAACACACTTTAAGTTTCAAGGGTTATTTTTAGGGGGAAGTGAAGATTAAGGCAAAGAAATATGTCATTTTAGTCTAGTATATGTCTCACTATTTTATAAGGCAAAACTAGGATGACACAATGACAATTCCTCCTTTTGTATCAGGACTGATTTTTGGAGTTAAAAATATACACTTTACTATATCTTAGTTGTAAATAGTCTGGGGAGCTTGACTTTATGTGTCAACAGTGTGAAATTCACAAGATGGGACTTTGTGTGGGTGAGTCTCTGATGGTATAAAGTTAGTGTCTGAAGGGCTTATTAATGATTTTCTAGCACAGTATCCCTTAGTATCACAGAACACCTGTCAAATACTAATTCTTTCACATATCTCCATTACAGGACCTTTTCATAAAAAGCTCGACCTTTAATTGTAAATCACTCCTAAATTGTCCTTGCTGGCTTTCTCCTTTACAGAATGATGGAAAAATCACTAAGACTTCAATTAAGACTTTATGGGAACTTCAATCTGATGTTCTCAGTTATATCTACAAGGTATCAGAACATCTATTCAAAAAGGAAACTATAAATAACTTTAACAGAGTTGAATTGGCTTAGCTTTAATGAAATGACTGAATAATTGACAAGATTTAAAGATACTCTTAACTACTCAGAATTAAAATAACTTCAGTAACACCCCAAAAAAATCTTTAGCCAATCATTTGTCATGTAGATTATGTACTTATTAGGCTTAATTAAACTTTTTGAACACATACGCTTGCTAATTACTAGTTAATATGTTGATTGCTCAATTTAGCAAAAAAAAAAAAAAAAAAAAAAAAGGTCAATCTAATTTGTGTACATAGTGATTTGGTGGAAAGACAAAATATCCACACTATAGATTGTTTCAAGTGCTCAGCTATCTTTATAAGAAATGCAAGTTACGTCTTAAGGCCCAAAGTGACAGAGAGAGATGGGGATGGTGAGAATCGAACAATGCCAAGGCTAAGAGGAATCTTGAAGCCAGTAACATTTTTCCAGGACATTCAGTTCATTTGCCTCAATGTATTCAGTTGCATTTGTGCAATTAGGCCCTGATAGGAGCCATACAAAGTCATCTTTCATATGCATATACAAACTAAAACTGATAGCAAAAGCCTGGGAATCCCTTTAAATGTCAATAAAGGGTTTTCATGCACAAAAGGAAGAAAAGAAGAAAGGAAGGGAACAGATGAGATGGGAAAAACCAACATTTCTGAGGGAATTGAAGAGATCAAAGGAACTTTATCCTCCAAGACCACTAAATCGGGGTGTAGCTACTCTGCAGAATCCTGTTGGCTCTGTCCCTTGAAAGATGGAGATGAACAATTAGGCCTGCAAAAGCAGGTCACGTTGAGTAAAAATGGAGGCTGCTTCATGCAACAGGAGGCGCGGGCGTCTGCAGAACAGGGCGCCTGCCTGGGCCTCTGTGCCGACCCGACCCTCCAAGACATGTTTTCCATTCGCTTGCTCAAAAGTCTGCATCCGCAGTCATGAGGCACAAACTATTCGACAACAACATGACACAATTAATCAGAACCAGACCTTAAAACGTGTGTTTGTGTGGACCAGCAAACTGCAATGTGTTTCAGAGGGTGAAGCAATTGAAGAGACTCACGCTGGCTGTTTGGGGCTGGGGGGAGGGGTAGGAATGGAAAACGCTATATATTCACAAAAGATGCTCACCAAATGGCACATTGATGGGCTAAAATGATTTTCATCACAATCTATGTGAAATTTGGAAATTTACATCTCACCCTAAAAAAATCTCTCTCTCCTCCACCTCAGGAGTAACAAATACATGCCAGAGAATTTTTACACCAACAAAGTTGTACAATTCAGAAGTAGACGTATGTATCCTTTTTCTAGCATCATTTCTAATCTAGGCCTCTTCACCAGTGCTAGGTTTTGACAGATTTCTCTTTTAGGAATTAAAACTTCATTAAAAATCCAGACGCTGGGCCTTAGTTAATTCAAAACTATTCAATTTCACCAAACCCTGAAGCTAAGAAAAAAAAAAATCTGGTCTATTTCCTTTTGGGGGGGCAGGATTGAATTAGTTCAAAATAGTTACTGAACCCTCCTTTGTAATCTGTAGATAGTAATTAATTGAAATCACATCACTCTTCTTTTGCTAACACAAACACGCTGTTCAAAAGCCAAAAGGAAAATTTTCTCAAACCATAAAAAGACAAATGGAGGATGCGAGAGTGATATTTGTTGGGTGTTGAATTGGCCCCAACCTGGAGAGTGCCCTGGCTCCTCCCAAAGGATTTATAGTTTTGGAGCTGAAACTTCCTGGGAACAGGGCCCGGGTCCCCAGCCGTGTGCCCAGCTGCTTCCCTAGGAAAGGGGGAGGGGGCGCAGAGGTGAATCCTAGGGACTAGCCAAACGGAGAGGGAGGCAATGAAAGCGTTTCCACAATTTTTTTTTCCAGACCACTACCCCTACTCCCAACCCTGGCAGCATTTCTCCCACTGTTTCTTGGTTTCGCAAAGAGCACGGGTTACAAACCCGGGCGCCCGCTGCGAGCATTGAGAGAGTGGACTCACTCTCAGCCCTCTCAGGTCCTCGTCATTCCCGAAAGCCCCTTCCTGGTCTTCCCGCCACGTCCCCGTAACCCAGAATCTTCAGACGCCGGCTGCTTCTGGGATTTCCCAGAACCCCCGCTGCGTTACCGCGTCGCCACCCACCGCCAGCTTAGCCGCCGCGCCCCACTCACCCACGCACTCGTTGGCCTCGCGAGCCGTGGCACGCTGCCAGGGCCGGTCGTAGTGAAAGGGTTTGCAGCGGTCGCACTCTGGGCCCGCCGTGTTGTGCCTGCAGTCGCACACCAGGCTGTCGTCGCGGTCGCGCACGCACCGAGCGGCGTGGCCATTGCACTTGCAGCGGCCGCCCACCTGCAAGTCGGACACGGCATAGAAGTACGAGTCGCGCGCCAGTTCCGAGTCATCCTCATTCTCGTCGCCGAAAGTGTGCAAGCGGCTGAAGGCCACACGGATGTCGGTGGCTGTGACCCAGTCCTGCAGCACCGGCGAGTTGTCGAAGTCGTGCGCCGAGGGTCGCCCGTCCAGCGTGCTGAAGGCGATGAGGCCGCCCGAAAGCGGGCGCATGTCGGTGTGCGAGTCGGTGCACACGGCCTCCTGCTCGTTCTGCTTGGTGATGGGCGCGCGGTGCGGCCGGTTGTACATCTTGCGGCACTGCGTGGAGTAAAACTGGAAGGGCACCCACGTGCGCCCGTAGTCCATGGACTTGTAGATGGCCATGGACTCGGGCCGTGGAGAGCAGAACTGCAGGCTCACGTAGGTCACCTCGAACTTCTTGCCGAGCGACAGTGTGAGTGTGACGTTGTGCGGAAACTGCAGGAAGTTCTCCGACTGCCAGCACGTCAGGTTGTGAGGGTTGTTGAGGTCTGTGAGGAAGGCCGGTGGGTGCGCCTTCTTGGGGTCCGAGGCGTTGCAGAGGTGGCAAGAGCGCAGCCGCTCCTCGCCGCGCTCGCTCACCACGCAGTAGCGCGCCGGAGGCCGGCCGCAGGTGCTGGACACGCGGACGTCCTTGCCGAAGGCCGCATTGACAAAATCTGGGATGCAGCGGCGCGGGTGGCCGTTCTCGTCCGAGCAGGGGTCCGGCTGTGCAGCCTGGCCCGCGAACATGCTGAGCCCGGGACCGCCGCGCACCGCGCCCACCAGGCACGCCAGCGCGACCAGCGCGGCCAGCGCCTCCCACACGGCGCGCATCATGCTGCGTCCGGCTCGCCCCGGCCCCGCCGCGCCGAGGAGTCCGTCAGCCAGCCGCAGAAGGCGCCTGCGGAGAGAAGGAGCCGCGCTCAGCCAGCCCGCCCCGCGTCCTCGGCCCTCGGTGGAGTGGTGGCCGGGGGCGCGAGCGAATGCCAGGCACCAACCGCGCAGCGACGGCTCGCCTCAATCCCCCGAAGTCCCAGGGGCACACGAGCCGGGCAATCTCCAAGACCGCACAGCCCGCGCCCCTTCTTCCCCGCCGGCGAGCCGGGGCGGCGGGCTAACGCTCGGCTTCCCCGCCACCGCCGCCTCCACGCCGCCCAAGGGGCACCCCCGCGCTCGACCGCCTGCCCGCAACCAACCCGCCCTGCACCCCAAGTCTCTGGCGCCCGAGAGAGCTCGGCTCTCTCAACCCCGCAACCCTGTACCCCCTTCGTCCCGCTAGGCAGCCTCTCAGTTGCCCCTGGTCGCGTCCCCGCCGGGGAGACCGTGCCCGGGACTTTACCTCTAGCGAGGGCAAAAAAGAAAGAAAAGTTTGCCTGGCCCTGGCTAGGGGCCCGCGCGCCGGACGGCGGAGAGCCTCTCGCGGGCGCGTCCTGCCTCAGCGCGGGCTTGCCAGCTCCATGCCCGGCGCGGCCGCCGCTGTCCCGGCCCGGGCCCGGCCGCCGCCTCTGCCGCTCGCCCCAGTGACGACGCGGCCGCAGGGCTCCCTCTGCTCCCGCCGCGGCCGGAGTGCTGCCCTGCCCGCGCCCGGGGCGCACACACTCACGCTCGCTGGCGCGCACTCACACACGCACGCACGCCCCCGAAGGCTCCACCGCCGCCGCCGCTAGCGCTGGGAGTGGGGGGCGGAGGGGGCGCGGGGGCGGGGCCGCCGGGCGGGGCGCCGGCCAATAACGTCGGCGAGCAGCCGCCAGCTCGCGAGCAAAGTTTTAACCCCGGGAAAGAAGAAAAGTTAAAGGGAACCGGCCCGGGACGCAGGCGAGGCCGAGCGCCAGCGGGTGGGAACCCGGGGAGCCCGAGAAAGAGCAGCGGAGACAAAGAGAAAGCTACAGCAGCGCCCCGGGAAACCCCGGAGAGGGGGCAGGGCCCGGCGCGCACCCCGAGGGGGGAGGGGTCCGGCCGGCGACTGTCAGCTTCTCCCGCGCACCGTGCAGCCCCGGGAGCCCCGCGCCCAGGGGAACACGCAGGCGCGGGGGAGGGGACGTTTCCAACTCCCAGCCGAACACATCTGTGTTTGTTTTCTTTGCTGTGCCGAGGTCGGGCCTTCCTCTAACCCGGCCTGACGGGCCCAGGTGGCACCGCGCACACCCCTGTGGGCACGCAGCCCTGGGGGCATGAGGAAGGGGAGGAGGATGTGACCTCTGCCTGCTTCTTACACATGCCCAGGCCTCAAGAGTCCCGTTGAGGAGAAGCTGCTCGCCTGAATCCCCAACCCCCAGAGCTGTCACTATGCCCTGGGCCTGGAATGTGGCACCTTGCATGCCAGGACAGTGGGCAGTAGGCTGAAGTGTTAGGTATGCACCTGGATGCTAGCAGCACCACTCACAGACTGTCTGGCCAGCTCTCCCGATATGCCCCGAAGCAGGTTCACTGGTACTTCCTTGCTGGTGCTATTAAGGGTGATGTAGATCTCTAGTATCTCATGGGATTCCCACCACAATTTGGCAGCATAGTTATTAATTCCATTTTACGGATGAGGATACTAGGATCTCAGGAAATTGAAGAAACTTGCCCATCGTCTCTCAGCTAGTAAAAATCAAACCCAAGAATAGCAACATGGGCTCCTAGACTGATAGGGTGGTCTATTCCTTGAGTCCTAGGTACTCTAAAGGCTAAGGCAGGAGGACTGCTTGAAGCCAAGAGATCAAGGCAAATTTGGACAACATAATGAGGCATAGGGTAGGGGAAAACCTGGGCTCCTTTCTTTCCATCACCTTTGTCCAGTGGCTGATCCTACTCGATCATAGTCCCATGGGGTATCTCTTGGGAGCCTCCAAACTTCTGGGCCTCGGTGTCACTTAGCAAAAGGACTGAGGACAGAAACAGTAGCCTTTCACCTTCTTGTAGTAGCCACCAAAGGGCTGAGCGGAAAAGGACCTACTGTGCTGAGCATTTGGAACCAAATTTCTGTTGATTTATTTCTTAGGTAAAATGTGTGACCCAGTAACAGACCTGGAGGGAAAAGCCTCAGGTCCTGGTTCTGGCCCAATAGCTGTCTCGCCCCATACATTAGCTCCATTAAATACTTCATTTTGTCTTAGGGCATTTTCCTAACCCCTGAAAATCTAAGTAGGAGGCCCCTGGCTCATGTGGCTCAGCTGGGCAGAAGGCCTTTCCTACCCTTCCCCAGCCTCTGGGAGCCCCACCCTCCCCAAGCCAGTACTTCCAGGAAGCGAAGGAGACTCAGCATAGCCCTGGGAAATAAATTCATTTCATCACAGGACAGCCCAGATTCACCCTCTCCTGGGAGGAGCTCTTAGGCTTTGCCCTTTTGCACCACTTACTACTCTTTTCTGTTTATTTATGCCCTGCCTCATAGCAGAAAGGATTTCAGGTGACTTATAAGGTACTTAAGAGATGGCAAAGTAACATAAATTAGAAGTGATGTGAAAGGAAATAAAAGAAATGTTCAATCACTGTGGAGTGTGAAGTCCCAGTGGAATAGTGGAAGGCACCATGACATCTAGGAGGACATGCTTTGGAGCCAGAGGACCTGACCTGGGATGCTGCTGAGGGACCTTTGCAAGTCTTTGCAGTGGGGTCCTTGTTTGTAAGGTTATCTATCTCCTGGGGGTTTTGAGCATCAAATGAAATGACAAATACAAATATTATTTATTGCAATACATGTACACATTGCAGTTCTATAATACTCCTGAATTTATTTTGACATGTATGGCTATGGAAATACACGTAGAGCCACAGCACAAGGTGTTACTAGTACTAAAATTGCTATACAGAAATTTTAGATTATTTAAGGAACATTCAAATATGTGGAAGGGTGTTCACAACATATGAATGAAAAATAGCAAATTTGGGCTGGCCAAATAGCTCAGCGGATTAAAGCCAATGCAAGCAGGTGCAGGGGCTGGGGGTTCGATCCCGGGTCCGCCGTGCTGGCCCCTGCTCCCAGGGCGTGCTGAGACAGCAATTGAGATTGGGCATGGTGGCGTGCACCTGTAATCCCAGTTCTTGAGAGGCTGTAAACAGGTGGATCACTACTGAGTCTGACCTAGTAGTGAGACACTGAGCACCCTATAAATGCTTCCCCCCCAAAAAAGAGAAATAAAATAAAAGAAAAAGAAAGAAAAATAGCAAAATAAAGAACATGTACAGTGTGAAGTCATTTTTACTAAAGTCTGCATAAAATGACAACAGTGTTAGCTGTATGTCCCAGGAGAGTATGACTAGAGGTGGTTTATCTTTCCATGTATATTCTCAGTTTTGTACAGTAAAGTAAGTACAGCTAAGATGAGAAAAAAAAGCAAAAGTAAAAACAAAATAGAGTTGGGAACAGTGTACCCTGAATGGCCTATTCACCTGCTGTGGGTGGACCACCAATGTGTCCTAAGCTACCCACCACCACCACCAAAATGAAAAGGAGACCCAGGTCCATTACACAATTCCCACTGTCCACGAGATAAAAACAGACCTATTGCGCAAGAGAATTACAACTATTCTTGGTACTAAAGGCAGGCAGGAGTTTCTCTGGGGGGACTCATAAAGGCAGACACAGTGTGAGGTAACAGGGCAACATCCTGGCCACATCCCCGTAATAGTCACAACAGTGAGCCCCATAGGGTGGTCTGTGAGATGGCCCTCAAGCTAAGCTGACTGGCACTGCACCAAAACACGAGTCAGGAAGACATTCTAGCAAGGAGAGGTGTAAAAGAAACAAATGGGGTGCTCAGCTTGCTGCCCACCCAACCTAGACACACTTTGGAATATCTACAGGATTGAATTAGGGAAAGCTTCGCAAGCCTCCTTTCTGCTACACTGTTTCTGTCCACAGAGCTTTGCTGGATCTGGTGGAGCATGGAAATTGCATGCTGTGGACTGCGGCTCAGCTCTACCGCTAGCCAGGCTTGGGCAATGATCAGAAAGGCATGGAGGACCCCACCACCACCACCACACTTATATTGTGGTCACTTAGGTCTAACGGGCAGGACTATCTCACACCTTGCAATTCAAGCAGTCTGCAATCTTCTGACACACAGTAGACCCTCTCTACCTCCATGCAAATTCCACCTGTCATCTTTACAGTTGGTCCACTTCCAACTCTGCACAGGCACCCAGAACAAACCCCTGGCTCGTCAAACTTTCTGAGCCAGCGCCCCCACCCCTCCGCCTCTCTCTTTTATCTATTCTGGGCAAAAATGCTCCCGGTTAATGGATTTCATGTAGGACATGGTTTTCTGACTGCCTAGCAGCCTCTCCAAGTGCCCTCTAATTTGTCAGTGTCCCTTCCTAAAGCACGCTCCCTTTTGAGGGGACCAATGAAAAAAACAGATGTCTAAGTGTTGTGAGAGCTCCCCAAAGTGGGGGTTATAAATACACATCCGAGAAGGCAAGCCAGGCTCTGAGCAGCGGGATCCTGGGTACAGACTGGAGTTCAAAACAACAGTGTGATTCTTGGGTGAGAAAGCCAATTCCCAGGTGTTTGTGTAAGGAATGCATTGGGGCGGGGGGAGCCACCATTCTTGGCACAGAGCTTTACCTGCAAAGACCAACAACAGAGCACTTCAGAACAGGGGGAATTTTGAGAAAACCTAGGGGCCGCCACAGGAGGAGAAGGACTTGGGAGATTCAGGTGTCCTAGAGACAAGTAGACAACAGAGTTTTGAGGAAGGACGGGCTTGGAGCAGGATCACATGCCTTAAAGGTCAAGATAAGATCTGAAATGAGTGCTTTGGATTAAACTACAAGGAAGTCCTTGGTGACCTTGACTGGCCGTTGCAGGGAAGTGGTGGGGACAGAAGCCAGAAGGCCTCAAGTTGCGGAGTGAACGGCAGGTGAGAAAATGGAGACAGCAAGTGGAGACAATTTCAAGAAGTGTGACTACAAGTG